CTTTTTGCATTTCATTCTCTGCTACTAAATTCTTTTGTGCACTGTTAACCATATACAAAACGACTTTGAACATATCCGAGATAAAGGGAAATAAATAAGTCCCTAATTGTTTCAAACAATCTTCTAAAAAATTCAGGTATCCAAGTTGTTTTCGATAAGGAACAATTTTATCAACAAATATATTCGGTACAAATTTGAATTCATTATCAATAATGTCTGGCTGTTGACGAATGATTGTAAAAGGTTCTAAAAGTAAGTTAACGAGAAGTTCTAGCTCGGATTGACTACAGTTGACCAATGCAGACAAAACAGCTATTCTTCTGGCGCCCATTCCAGTCTTTGATGAAGCTTTACCCCTTCTTGCAATCACTCGACCATATAAAATACGTATTATAATAGGCATTACTTCAGCTCTGTGTTCAAATTCTATTGAGCCATTTTCTACGTTAAGTGAGAATGTTGATAATTCATCTCTAAACTTTGCTTCATCAACAAGGTTACGAAGATTATTTTCATAAGGAGTGACGCCTTTGAACTTCCATGTAAACAAACATTCTAATGCAAGACCCTGTATTTTGATGTCTCCTTTCATTAATAATCGCCAATAAATATTTTGTAATTCTGTAGACTTGTAAACCGAATGTGGATTCTTGAATTTCGAAAATAACTTTAAATAAAGTAACATTTTAGATTTGATTTCTTTTGAAGACTGTTCAGCCATCATGACTAAATCATCTTTCTTTTCATGTTCAGTTTCCATTGTATCACTATCTTGTGCAGAAAGTGTTGTCACTCCAGTTTCTTGACTTTCTTTATCAATCATTACGTCATCAACAGAGTCTTCGGCAGCTATGTTATATTTAGTTTCTGCATATTGAAGAAAAAAAGGAACTAACTGCCGAGAATTTTGCTCAGCAATGTGAGGAACTTCAGCCAACGTCCTAATCAAGAGGCTATAGTAATTCCAACGGTCAAAGTTTACATTTTCCGGTGCACAAATCTAAACATAAAATGTAATGAGTTGAAGGTTTATGCAAATACAAATTCGTGATAATGAAAATTTATTTATTTACCGAAATAAAATGAGTAATATAGCTGTTGACAAAATTGCTAGTTATGAATTTATATGCATCGTTCACTGCTTTGTTGAATTTAGATAAATTAGGACATTCAAAAGATACTCCACCAAATTTTGGTCGATGTAGTTAATAAATTCGTATCTTGATTAAAACTTAATTCAAGGGCCTTTGTCGAAAATCCAGAATATGTGAATTTAAATTCGTTAATACGCAACATTTCAGCATGCAACAACCTCCAGAAAGTACGAGGATCATTCTGTGCAACATTTACGAGCACATTGATTGCTTCTGTCCAGATAGCACTAAAGTTGATGGACAGTAAACCTTATAAATCAACGAAGATAATCAATGTATAAATAGCAAATTCGAAATACTGAACACATCATGATAAATATACAATGGAACGTTTCCAAACCAAAGCAGAACAATGGCGTGACTTCTGAATAAAATTCTGGTACTCGCTTAGTAGATATCAATGAATTTATTTTTCGGAGCATCATAGTTTTGTTACGATATGTCGCAATAGATGTTTCAATTTCTTCAACTTTATAAGCCATTGCGAATATTTCGCAGGGCTCTTCTTCATTTTTAGAAGTTTCTCCACTGTTAAGTGGAAATTGATTGAAAAGCATGAGGATTTTTAACGAATACAACCGACATTGATTTACAAAGGAGCCAATATTGCACTTTAGATGTGGATATATTTTTTCAAGAACCTTTGTATCAAATAAAAAGGCGCTTTTCTTACTAAAGAAAAAAGTTAAGGTAAATTGCTGCGTGATTATAATATAAGACAATCAAGTTAATTGAATTACCTTGTCCGCACATATTCCATATATTCCGCAACAGACCTTAAAATAATTTCGTTTGCACAATAGACTACTAAAACATCATCAACAATAATATTCCATATATCTATTAAATAATTTATTCCATTACTCCCCGAAGAAATTCGGCATAAATTAGTCACGGTTGTAATTGCTTGTCCCAACAAATTTTGCGCAAGCACGCATGGAGAACCACGAGTAAAAGGTCGTTTCAGATACGGTATTATTGAAGAATTTTCAAATTTAAGGTACTGAACCAATGACTTAATGAGAGACAATAGCGAATTAAACGTTTTCAGAAATGGCACAGATACATGCGTTATTATAGTGAGAGTTGCAGAGACCAAAGTTAGAAGCGGAATTTGTGTATTTTCCTTCAATAATGTAATAATGTAAAAGTTAAATACAAAGTTAAATACAACAATAATTTAAACATAAAATACAGCCAGTTTATTTCACCTACCGAATCTAAGTCCAACAAGCTCGTTTTATGCACCTCTGAGGCCCAATCACAATCACGAGCTATCAAGTTTATTAGTTCATCTATAATGTTTTGGCTTGCTTTAAAACCAGCGTCACCTTCGACACATTTTACATCTTCTGCACTGACACTGGGAAATTTTATCAATCCTTCCTTTGTAATAAATAAAGAAACTGCACCTGAAGATATCGAAATAGTCTTTGTAAATAGCAAATGTGCAAGAAAAATGATAATTTTCGTTGAAGCTACTTTCCAGTAAGTTGATGAAAACCTATTTCATTTGATCAAAAGTAAAAATCAAGTATCCCGAATGCGATGACATAGAAAATATTCCTCATAAATATACCTGACTATATATGGAAGCATGATTTGCATGTAATGTTCCCATTTTAAGTTTGCTAAAGACAAACAGAATGACAAAACAGTATCAACGTCCTATAAATAAAGTCATGTAATAATATTTAGTAAATCACAAAAGCACTATGTTATCAGTATTCACATACATTAGATTCGAAAATTTTATCTAAAATGCCTTTTCCACCAACTAAAACATCCTCCAATCTTGATAGCATCATCAATGATGTACATGATTTGAAAAATTGCTGACGAAGAAAGTTGCAGGAATTTGACTCAACTAAGGATGGTGCTAGAACGTACTGCGCAAGATTTTTTGTTATATCGAAAACACGTTTCAAATCTTTTTAATAATTATAAAATCATTAAGCATAAGTATTAATTACTAAGAAAAAAATGTGAATGTGAAATAATAAAAGTTAAAAATACCATTGACACGACTGCCTTTTCGAACCGTCATACATATATAAATGAGAGATAAATTTATCCCAAACTTAGCAACTGTTGTCTCGGGAATGGATTGATTCTCATTTGTGTTATCCTGGATCACAGAATTGAACTCTTTTTCTATCTCACTCAAATATAGATCCCACATAGGCCCAAAATGTTCGCATTTAGTATGATGAATAAGTGCAACAGTCGTCATGATAAGAATGCGATAACCAGGATTGTTTTCTGATGATAAAGATTTATTGATAAAGATTAATATAAAAATAATAACTTCAAAAACAACTTCAATGAAATAAGTCTAGAAAAAAAAAACAATTAAATAAAGAAAAAAAAAA